AATGTGCCAACCGTTGCCTTACGCCGATTTTCGATGGGTCGACGACGCGTCGAATTTTGACGCATCATCTGAAGCGTTAGATTCGCCCACGGGCTATATCCTCGAAGTCGATCTCGAGTACCCGCAACATCTTCACGATACGCACACCGACCTACCGTTTTGTCCGACACGCGACAAGCCGCCCGGCAAGTGGCAAGACAAACTCCTCGCAACGTTATAAGAAGCGTTACGTGATACACTACCGTAAGCTACAGCAGTGTACGCGTCACGGCCTTCGTGTAACAAAAATACATCGCGTATTACAATTTACGCAATCTCCGTGACTTCACAGTTATATCGAATTAAATACACATTTTAGAACACTCGCGAAAAACGATTTCGAGAAAAATTTATATAAATTAATGAATAATGCTGTGTTTGGCAAAACGATGGAAAATGTGCGGAATCATGTCGATGTAAAATTATTAACAAAATGGGACGGTCGGTATAGCGCGGAAGCGAAATCGAATTTCCATAGCAGAAACGTTTTTTCGGAAAATCTGATTGCGGTAGAATTGCGTAAACTCGAGGTGAAATTTTACAAACCAATTTACGTGGGTATGTGCATACTCGACATATCCAAGACGTGTCTGTACGAATTTCATCACGAGTACATATTTCCTCTGTATCGCGACAAATGTAAGATCATGTACACCGACACGGACAGTCTCGTATATCACATCGAATGCGCGGATGTCTATGAGAATATGAAGCGCGATATCGCCAGATTTGACACGAGCGATTATGCGGTGGACAATGCGTACGATATACCGCTTGTAAATAAAAAAGTGCCGGGTCTAATGAAGGACGAAAATAACGGTGCGATAATGACAGAATTCGTCGGGCTCAGGGCAAAAATGTACGCGTTACGAGTGGACAGAAAGAAAGACACGAAGAAAGTTAAAGGCGTCAAGAGCAACGTAGTCGCGAGAACGATAACCTTCGAAGATTACACGCGGTGTTTGAACGAAGAGATCGCGCCAGCAGTCGTGTATACGATCTAAACTGCACAAAGTGTATACCGTCCGCGAGACGAAAATTGCTATGAGTCCGTACGGCGATAAGCGGTATATCGTACCCGAAACCACAGATACATTACCGTGGGGACAGAAGATGCGAGGACATCTTCGTCCGCGAGCACGCACGCACCGACGCAGGACGCTACATCGTGAGGCTTCCCTTCTCCAGCGCACCACCCTCTCTCTCGGAAACCCGCAAGCCGGCCGAGCGCTTGCTCCACGCCATGGAGCGCCGCTGCTGCAAGGACGCTCGATTCGGCAGCCTCTACCGCAGCTTCATGAGAGAGTACGACGACCTGCAACACATGGAAGTTATAGATACCTCAACGGAACGAGTGGACACCGCTAAGTGTTACTTATCGCATCACGAAGTATTGCGAGAAACAAGCACCACCACGAAGCTCAGGGTCGTGTTCAACGGCTCACAGCTCACAACCTTGGATACCTCACTCAACGCCAGTCTGCTGACCGACGCCAACCTCCTGCCAGCTCTCACCGACGTGCTCCTTCGTTGGCGCTGGCACCGCTACGTCTTTGTGACAGACATCGAGAAGATGTACCGCCAAATCCTCATCCATTCGGACGACCGCGATCATCAGCGAATACTTTGGCGGCATCGTGCCACCGACGGCATCCGCGAATACCGCCTACGAACGGTCACGTATGGCTTGGCGTGCGCGCCCTTCCTCGCCATACGGACCTTACATCAGCTCGCCGACGATGAGGGTGAACGTTTTCCGCGAGGAGCTGTCGCGCTGCGCCGCGATACTTACGTGGATGACATCGTGACCGGCGCAAGCACCCTCTCGGAGGCCACTTCAGCCCAACGACAGCTCCGCAGCCTCTGCATGGCGGGCGGGTTTCCGTTTTGGAAATGGGCGACCTCAGCATCCTGGACGGAATTCCACGCGAGCACCGGCTCACCCACTCACCTCACTCGTGGTCACATGAAAGCCACACGACACTGGATCTTCACTGGCACCCGGCCAGCGACCACTTCATCTTCACGGAACAGGCACGGCACCTCGACGAACTCACAAAAAGACGCGTCCTGTCCGAGACCGCTCGAATGTTTGATCCTCTTGGCTGGCTCACTCCGGTTACAATGCGAGCCAAGATCCAGTCCGCCTGGCTCCGGAAACTCGACTGGGATACTCCCTTCCACCGGCGGACGCACTAGCCTGGAAGACCCTGCTGTCGCAACTTCCACGCCTCAATGAGATCAGGATATCTCGCTGGCTCGGCAGCGACAATCCTCATTCACGCGTCGAACTCCATGGGTTCGCCGACGCATTAGAGCGAGGATGCGCCGCCGTGGTGTACCTCCGCTCCTCCACTGAAAAGGACAACACACTTCACTTGCTGAACGCAAAGGGCAAGGTCGCCCCCCTGAAGCCCGTGTCTTTACCGCTGCTCGAGCTGTGCGCGGCTGCCCTTCTAGTAAACCTCGTCGTTCACACGCGCACTTTGTTGAGTTTGTCCTCAGCTCCAGTCTTCCTCTGGTCAGACTCCAAGGTCACGCTACACTGGATCCACGGCCACGCTTCCCGCTGGAAGATCTACGTGGCCAACAGACTGTCGGTAATCCAGGAGCGACTACCCGAAGCGCGATGGCGACATGTGCCGGGCAAAGACAATCCAGCTGACTGCGCTTCCCGAGGAGTCCTGCCCAGCGACCTGGTCGATCATCCTTTATGGTGGACCGGACCATCCTGGCTCCCAGAGGACGAGGCAAGGTGGCCTAGCAACGACGACGCCCTGTCAGACGCAGACTTGCCGGAGCAAAAGGCCGTCACCTCACGGCCACCATCAAAAACTTCTCCGAACCTGGATTCCTCCTTCGCTTCTCATCGCTGCACAGGCTCCTCAGGGTGACAGCTTGGTGCCTTCGATGGCGGAGACCAGGCATCCAGAGGACACGCGACACCACTCACACCGCACTCTCACTCGAGCCCCACGAGATCGAGGACGCACTCCTTCGATGGATTCGCACCACGCAGACACTGCACTTTCACAGCGAACTCACAGCACTGAGCAAGGGACGTGCCTTGCCACCGCGAAGCCCGCTCACACGACTAAGTCTGTTCCTCGAAGACAGCGGCGTGATGCGAGTCGGAGGACGTCTCAAACACGCTATCCTGTCCCACGACGAGCGGCATCCCATCATCATGCAGCCGGGATCCAAATTAACCCGTCTGATGGTGGAGTCCTGTCAACGGCAAACTCTGCATGGGGGAGTGCAGCTCACTCTCGGTTTGCTTCGTCAACGATTCTGGATCCCACGAGGACGAGCCGTCGTCAAACAAGCAATCCACCGCTGCGTTGCCTGCACGATGGAGAGCCGTCACACCACAGCCACTCATGGGCAGTCTTCCTCGGGAGCGAGTGGCTCCTGCACGCCTGTTTCTGCGCACCGGGGTCGACTACGCCAGCCCGATCCTCATCCGGACCATGCGCGTAGCGCACGTGACAGCCTCCGACGGCGTGAGATGGAAGTTCAACCCTCCCGCAGCACTACACTTCGGCGGACTTTGGGAGGCAGCCGTCAAATCAACAAAGCACCACCTCCGAAGAGTCATCGGTGAAGCCACCCTCACCTACGAGGAGATGGCGACCCTTCTCACTCAGGTGGAGGCGTGCCTAAATTCGCGCCCACTACAGCCGCTGATGGACGACCCCGATGACTTGACGGCACTCACACCAGGGCACTTTTTAATAGGAGCCCCTCTCCTAGCCGTTTCAGAGCCATCACTCACCGCAGAAAAGGACACTGCGCTGTCTCGATGGCAGCTCCTCCAAAAGATGCGTGACCATTTCTGGGTGGACGCGCAAATACCTCACCGCCCTAGCAGCCCGACCAAAGAGGCTTAAGAATGAGGCCGGCCCTAGCGTCGGCGACTTGTGCCTGCTCCGGTCCGACATCACACCCCCGACCAAATGGCCACTTGCCCGCATCACGGCACTGCATCCCGGAGACGACGGAATCACCCGCGTGGTCACCATCCGCACGGCGTCGTCGGAACTGACCCGGCCACTCGCGAAGATCGTCTGTCTGCCAGGAGCCAACACCGAACCATCTTCATCACACTTCGTGAGCCCGCACTTTATCATATTTCATTGCATTGTAATTCGCACGCGGCGAATTCCCGAGAATTGCGCCGCGCTGAATCACATTCACTCGCACTTAAGTTCGATCCGCGAACCGTGTTATCATTTTTCGTTCTGTTCTCTCGCTCTTCTTGTCACTTTCACGGCGAGATTTCACGGTCATTCACTTATCACTGCACTCCACATTGTAACACTTAATTTACACTGCACTCGCGGAAAATTATTCACACTGTCGCTTTACACATTTCACTTCATTCGCGCTGTACATATTTCACGATAACGCATTACTTACTCTCGCGAAAGGCTCAATTAAACTGTTCGACAAATGACGTCACACATTCCATTCATATATCGCGATCAATGGCTCATCAATAGAACAGTTTGCGACACCTGTCCGCAATATATTCATAAATTTTTAAGCAATTTCAAGGATTTTATGAAGGAATTATAAACATATTTGAGATATTTCTGTAAGAATTCTCTGAAAACGATTTCAATATTGCAATATACATTTTTCAAAGAAATTTTCAGCGACTTTTCAATTTTCCATTTTATTGAATAATTTTTTTTTCCAACAAGGATGTGTATATAGAGTACAAATAAAAATATTTCTATAGAAAACATGCAAGTTATAAGGTTATATTATTAATTTTAGTATAAAAATACTTACCTCCAAACGACAAAATATGTACAACGTGGGATTTCCATGAGCAATTTCGTACTTCTCTTTGCATCTTTAATGCTGGAGTAATTTCACAATTTACGGGCCAATTAATTGCAATTTCTTCTTTTGCATTTCGATAACTTTTTGTAGTGTTTCTTTATTTCGTAATGATTTTGAAGCCACGATCAGTAGCCTACTGCGACTTTATAATCCTCGTTAATAAATTCTACTAATACGCACTCGCTATCTTTCTTTTTTTTACGATGAAAGTATCTTGTTTAATAAAATAAAAGATATAACAGATAATATAAACGTCTTAATAAACATTCGACAGACAATATAAACAATGGCGAACGCACTGCCACACAGTCACACACAATGGGCTGCGTTCAGAAACATCACCCGAATGCCCCCGGGTATCATTTTATCCTTGTTGTTCACCGAATGTTAAACAAGAATAAAATGATACCTGAGTACACTCGGATGATGTTTTCGAACGCAGCCCTGCCGGCTGCCGGCTGCCCCAGACCGCGATTCTCACCATTTCTGGATCGGAAATGCTGGGGAATTGTTTCCCGGCTACAGCTGTTCCGCGCAGTACGGTATTACGGTATGACGCAATGCACGCTCCGCAACAGATATGTGGAGCACATGCACGTGAACGAGAGTATATCGTTCCATCTGAATATAAATTGCAAATTATGACATAATCACAGAAAACGCGCTAATTAACAATGAGTGTTAATAAAAGAGGACCGTATAAACAATACATATACGAGGAACATAACCCCGAAATACCAGCATTAACAGCATTTTCTCGAAAAAAAAAAATAGAGAACAGTAGATGAGAGAAGTAGATGACATTTTATCATGCTTAAGTTATACAGAAGATGATAGTTCATCATGTTCAGATAACTTATCAGAGTATAAAATTGATTTGGTCTCTGACATGGACAAATATGAAGGAATTCCAACTGCTAATGACAATAATGTTATTGATAATGCCAATGATCATAATCAAGATCCACACATCGAGCAGGTAATATACATGTATCTCTCACCTTACAAAATATCGCTAGTATATAACTAATTCGATGAAAAACTATTAAAAATAATTCATTATAACTATACAGAAAGCTATTTACCATTAGATTTACCATTAGATTTATCATTTTCTATGTGATTAGTGAATATCGTTTTGAATAATTTTCTATTGGACATAGTTACTAAGAATTTGCTGATATTTGTGCACAAATGAAGTCTTAATTATGCAATGTATAGTTGTGTTTTATACAATGCTGTTAAAAAATTTCCGAACATCTCACCCCAAAATTAAAATATTTGAAGTTTTATCGTGATCAAACATTTTCATGGGAAGAAATCTAAAAACTTATTTCTTTGAAATAAATTATATATATGTATAATTTATTTCAAAGAAAAAATAGCGTTCTTTAAGATTAATGTTGGTATTTTTATAGTAGTAATAAGTAATATAAAATTTTTTCATGTTATAGTTTCGCCAAATACTGTACAAAGGATGCAATCTTTCAAAAGAAGAAAGCAAAATGTTGCTTGTAAGTTTGGCTCTTCGTCATCAACTGACCGATGCTACGTTGGAATCTCTTATTCAAGTAATTGATTGTCATCTTCCTCGTACACATCATGGCTCCAAATATTTATTATTAAAGTGATTATCAAAAAATAAAGCGCGTAAATATTATTATTGTCCGGAATGTTATATGATATTGAATTTACGTACCGATAATAGAATGAAATGTGAAGTTTGTACAACAATTTACAAAGAAAAATATCTCGATAAAAGAAATAATTATTTTATGCATATTCCACTCAGAGAACAATTAATAGAATTAGTAAAGACTGAAGATTTTGCACAATTCCGAAAAACTAAAGAAATGGAAAGTGATATCATTAATGGAAACATTTACCGTAATTTAAGAAGTAAAAATATCATTGGAGATAATGACATTACCCTCCAGTGGAATTCAGATGGAGTACAATTATTTAAGTCTTCTATGTCATCCATTTGACCGATTTTAGTTACGATTAACGAATTGCCTTATCATTTGCGAAGGCAACACATTCTCTTAGCTGGCATATGGTTTGACACATCTACGAAAGCAAATATGAACATTTTTCTTCAGCCATTCGTTGATGAACTTATTGATTTACATAATAATGGTTTTATTACAACAACATTCATGCATAAGGATGAAGCAATATGTATTAAAGTTCATACACTTGTAGCTCCTGTTGATTCAATAGCAAGGTCGATTATACAGAACATGAAACATAATTAAAATAATTTTATCTCGGAAGGGACATACAAATCACTAATGTGTACTTCAGGATCTTTACCAAGGGCCTATGGTCTTCCAAAAATACATAAGGAAGGCGTTCCTTTTAGGATTATAGTTTTTTCATTGGATAGTCCCTTGTACAACCTCTCCACTTTTTTGCATAAAATACTCTTCAATAGTTTAACAACAATAGATAGCAGTATGAAGAATAGTTACCAACTGGTTGACAGACTTTCAAATGTACATATTGATAACAATTTCCAACTCATTTCTTTAGATGTCATCTCACTTTTTACTAACATCCCGATAGAGGACACTTTAATTTGCATTGAAAGTATATGGGATGATATTTCCCACAATTGTGATGTCACAAAGAACGAATTTATGTTAGCGGTCAGATTCGTTCTAAAATCTACATTTTTTAAATTTAACAACAAAATTTATGAACAAACGCATGGCACACCAATGGGCTCCCCACTATCCCCTGTAGTAGCCGATATATTCTTGAGGGATTTAGAAAGGAAAGCATTAAACTTACTTACATATCGCCCCGCATTTTACTTCAGATACGTGGATGACATAGCTATGTCTTTACCGATGTACGAAATTAATAACACACTACACATTTTCAATTCATTCCATCCACGAATACAGTTTAGTGTAGAAATCGGAGACAAGAATTGCTTGAATTTCCTAGATGTCACAATGTCTGTTAATAACAACAAAATACAATTTGATTGGTTCCATAAAAAAACATTTTCTGGAAGGTATCTTAATTTTCACTCATTACATCCCATGAATCAAAAAAAGGGGAACTATCATTAGTTTGATTGATAAAGCCTTTCTTCTGTCTGATCCAGTTTTCCATAAGAAAAATATTAAACTTATTGTTGATACATTACTGAAAAATAGTTATCCACTAACAACTATTTTTAATGTGATTAATCAACGTGTCAGATATCTAATTAAGAAACATAACAATAAAATCTTAAATCAAGTTAAATATCATCAAGACAGCAAGGAAAATGCTACTTATTTCGTACTCCCTTTTTACTCGAATATCAGTGAGGGCTTCAATAAAATCATTCGAGATACAAATATAAAATTAGCATATTTCAGCAAGAATAAGTTGAATATGTTTATAAAAACACATAAAGACCCTGTACCAAAATTAGACAGTAAAAATGTGGTTTATGGAATCAATTGCTTAGATTGCGAGGCAACATACATTGGGCAAACAAAACGTAATTTAAAAACTAGAATCTCGGAACATCGTAGAAATCTCAACACGAAAATACAAGGACAATTTGTCATAGCGGACCATTGCTTTGAGTATAATCATGCATTTGATTGGGATAATGTCAGAATCCTCGATAAAGAAAAGTTTTATTATAAAAGGCTCGTTTCAGAGATGATACACATTAAAAAACAAGATACTGCAATTAATTTGCAGACGGATACCGAGAATTTGAACGAGATATACATTACAGCTATAGACAAATTATCTAAAAAACACAATAATAAATAACATTCATTTGTGTATATATAAGACATAGAGCGACCTATACGAGTCTATTGTTCGATACGTTTTAACTTTGTAACAATAAATATATCTGTGTTTGCGAATTTTGGGTACATTAATATTACATTTCATAATTTTTTATATTTTTCATATTTTTTGTATTATCGGTGCCCGAGTGTTCGATTACTCTATATAATAATTATTAACAAGGATCTGGACATTATCAACCTCCCTTGCCAAACAACGAGGGATAAGTTGGAAGATGGACCAACTAACCAGGATCGTAATCACCTTAAAATCTGAGCGTAAAAATTATACATATTCATTAGGTTTTTTGTATTGCATAAATGTCCATACAATGGATTGACCGCTTGTATTGTTATTTGACTGTTAACGACCGACCGATAATATATATGTTAGGAATTTTTTAAATTGTTAAATTGTAAAATGTGCTGAAGAGGGTTCAAAGAAAGAACCGAAACGTCCACTTAAATATGTATTAAATTTTACTTTCTCACACTCAATAACTTGTGATTGCTCGTAAATGCCTTTCACCTTGTCTTATTTTGTTTTGAACATGAAACAGTTTAACGGAAAATACGGATGTTCTTATTGCTATAATAAAGGAAAGGTAATCAAGACAAAAAGCAGGGGTTTTAAACATGTTTATTGTGGAGATGTTTATGCTTTACGTCATAAATATCAACACAACAAACATGTTAAAAAAAATATTTCAAAAAATCATTCAGTAAAAGGCGTTAAGGGTCCTTCGGTAACACAACTTATACCGCTCTTTGATATAATTAAGTCTTTCCCGCCGGATTATATGCACAGTGTTGCGGAAGGCGTAGTTAAACAGTTTGTTATGGCGTGGTTTGATTGCAGCAATCATAATAAAGAGTGGTATTTAAGGAAATACCAACAAGTTTTTGATAATAAATTGACAAATATATTACCTCCATCAGAAATAACACGAATACCACGATCGATAGTTCAAAGAAAATTGTTTAAGGCATCAGAGTGGAAGAATATTTTACTGTACTATTCATTGCCTTGTTTAAGTAGATTAATAACACAGAAATTTATTAAACTAGCTACGTTGGCTACTTTTTGTATTTAGTATGTATATTTTTCTACAAACACATATTCCTGAAGACAAATTTATCGCTGCTGAACAAGCATTACGAACATTTGTATTGCAAATAGAAGAATTGTATGGCGATGATTTCATGAATTATAATATTCATTTGTTATTGCATATACCTGCATCAGTGAAAAATTACGGTGCTCTCTGGGCTTGGTCAACCTTTCATTTTGAAAGCTTTAATCGAACACTAAAAACTTTGTTTAATGGTTCACAATGCATAACACAACAAATATCTAAGTTTTATTCTAGATTAAGATTTATTAACAACAAGATTTATTAAGAACAACAGATCGATTTTTATTGGCGAAAATTGTAGCTCGAAAGGCAAAGCTATTTTTGATAACTTAATGAAAGTGTGTCATATTAAAAGATGTATAGAATACGAAAATTCTTTAAAAGAGAGCATTTGGAATAAAAAAAGAAATAGTGTTAACTGTTACACAAAAACTTATTGTAGAAGAATTAATAGGGGAATCCGTCGAAAGCACGGCTTTTACTTTTAACTGATTTATTTTTAGAAATATTCTTTATC